ATATATGAACTTGTTGGACTCGGATATAGCGTAGCGATGCCCAGGACTATCGCCGAGCAACTCTGATGAACTAATAATTAATGACCATTAGTATGGCCGCATTCATGTGGTGCAAATTGAGGACCACTTCCGTACCAGGAGAATCATCGATCATGCGAAGAAGGAGGTCGAGCTGGTGGTTGCTTTTGATGATATGGGGAGAATATTTTCCGCGTCTCAGCAGTTCCCAGCAAGTTTGAAGGAGGTAGATCCGATTTGAACGATGTCACCTTTCCAACCTAAGGTAAAACCCATGTGCGTAGCATCCACCACGACAGTAGTGCCTGGCAGCCCACCTTTTGTTCCCTTGAACGTTGCGGCCAAGATTGGATTTAGCTCCAGGCACAGATCTGTTATTGGCTCGCGGAACGCTCCCACCTTTGCCGCCAGCCAAGGGAACTGATAGGGGTATGTGCGTCTGAGCCTGACATATCGGAGTCAGCGAGCTCTCGCCGCAGAGGAGCGCCGCCGAATAATGGCAGTTGGCTTTCAAGTCAACACCATAGAATAGCCGCTATCGTACAGTTTCATCGAGGCAGCCAAAGGAAGCATGTTCACATCAATTTTATTGGCGTTTGACAAAGGAAGAACAATTTATTCAGAGGCCTTGCCTATGGTTCAGGCAACGGCAGGCCTCTGCAAGCTATCACGCCCCAGGCAACTCCTTTTTCAATATGTATAACGACGGCAACAATGACCTCAGAGGCGTATGAGACTTCGAGAAGACGGTGAATTGTTGAGAGCTACCTCCGCTACATGATCGGTGCGGCTTCTGTCTGCTGAGTAAGATCGAATCTCGGGAATTGTATGAAGCCATGAGTGGAGCATCTTCATCTTGTTACTATGCTGATCTTCTGACCGTTAAGTCATTCTTTCGTGGAGAAAGTGGCAGGATTGCGCTGACTGCGTTGTAGAATTAGGTTTTGTAAAGGAAACGGGGGTTGGATGTCATTTCACACCTCAGACATGTGCAACCAGGTACAAAGGGGTCGCACCATTCCGTTGTTCTCGCAAAAAAACCCCGGACGGGCTGTGATCGAGGAAAAGTCGTGACCGAAGATCCAAGCATTGGTCGAGTATGTCCAGAGGAGGAGGGAGCAAAGCCAATGAACCGACAAAGTTAAGCCGTGATTAGTCGAACAGAGAGTTGAGCTTAAAGCGAGCAAGGACTAGCAAAGTAGCAACATGCGCTGTAAGCCAATGCAATAGCATAGGTAGAGTTGGGTTGTGGGACGGGTCGATCAGGTTCCGAGGATGGCGCTTTTGACTAGGGAGTCTCCTCCGTTAGTGGCGAGTTTCTTGGTGGTTTGTGAGGTCAAGTACTGTATGAAAGTATGTAGTGTCTGTTCTGTTATGTGAACGATTTCATCAGTATTGGCTCTGTTACCGGTGTTGACATTGAGGCTTGAATGGGACAACTGCAGGGGCTCTCGTCTGAGCTCTGGTCATTGGCTGGTGAGAGCGGTGGAGGATCTTGCGAGAGGTACGGGTACCTGTTACCCCATAACTAAGTGCTGACGGGTGAGTAACTGAAAATGCCCGCGCTGCAACGCTGCAACCAACATCCGATTTGACACCGTTAGTCCTGGGTGTTAATACGATGGGAAAAAGTAAATAGGTGAGCATCCTCCAAGTGTGGTTATTGCGATGGGCATTGTCCAATTCTTGCAACTACGGCTGCAGGATGTGGCTGCAAGCCCCAACGGTACTCAGCACAAGTCAGAGTTTAGCCTAGTGGGCGATGGATAACGGTTGCGATCCCTCCAATCTCCATTCGTCGTCACAAGGGAGCGCCTTTTCTGTTTTGGACTTTTGAGTTTCCACCGTTCGTTCTTGAGCTCCAAGAGAGTTTAGATACTTTTATAACGGAGCCCAAGACGTTTAGCCATCGCTGTACTACCTAACTTAGGGAACGGATGGCACGAGACGACAATGTGACCAGAACGCGTCCCTTGCAGTAGCTTCTGCAGCGGGTGGTTCTTGCTCGAGTGGAGAAGGTCTCAGGCTCCAAGGCGCTGACCCCTTAAGCCAAGTATGAGACTGGCGAGCGACAAAGAGGGGACCGATGACATTGCTTCTTAGCACTGCAGCCACTGTCTCGTACCCTGTTGATCTTCCAGGTGTCGGATGATAAAGCCAATGGACGGTTTTGTATCCTCCTTTGAAGCATGATAGGTTGCACTGGAAACATTTGCGACGGAACTTGGTTTCGTATCAACGTCACGGCATCTGTAACATATCATTTCCACCTCAACAGCAAGCTGAACGATTACGTATTTCGGGACATTCGAGACAGGGCATCGGCTGCTACTCCGATCCCTTGAGGCGTTCAAATACCAAGACGGAGAGGGTGGTGGCGGACGGGTATGTAAGACGGGGGAGACCAGGCGTTTGCAGCCTGCAGCGAGCAAAGCGGTCGCCCGTCCTGCGTGGCCTGGCAAACGTGAGCAGAGGCTACAGAGCTAAGCAGCAAAAGCAAGGTAACCAAAGCCATGGATCTTTATGTGCGACACGGCATGGTTTGTGGCGGACGCGGACGTCTGACTGACCTGGGATTCGGTTGTTAAATTGTAGTGTCGGACATGTGTAGTATTTTGTGCTCACGAACAGGAGATACAAGATGCAGAAGAGTATCACATTGATGACAATGACAGCAAGATTGATTGGGGTCCTCAACCCCGTTCCGAGCCTGGAGATGAGCGAGCCTTGTTGCCGTCCCTTTGCACGCGTTCCGATGACTGACGCGTAGAAAAGGAGATGCATCACCGATCGTGATTGTATCCATACTCGGAGAAATGTTGGTTCGTATGAAGTCTAGATGACGTTGACGACTGATCTGTGTTAACAAACACTTGAAGAGTTCCAGTGCTAGGGCGTGGAGGTGTGGGAGGTCGGTCCACGATCTATCGGGTTGAGTTCCATGTTGAAAATCATCCATTACCTTAGTGGAGGCCTATGGAGCGAGTGTCCCTCCTCGGACTGCACTAAAGGGCAGTCAGTCCACTGAAATTTGGGTAGACTCCAGGACTTTCAGTGAACAGACAGAAAACTTGGCAGTTAACTGAGGTGAGCCCAGGGCTGTTCGTGCCTGTCTCCCTTGCCGCACCATCTCGAACGGTCGGTGGACTCCCACCCCTACGGCCTGCTAGTCACACCCCCTAAATCTTGCCCTGGCCTATCCTTGGAGGTGAGATGGATGTTCCGTCCCCTGTGCAGCTGGTACCAGCTCAAGGAGAAATGGACTGTTCGTCCCATGTTCTGCAGAGTACTCGCGCTGATGGAGGTACTTTGCAGCGAACACTTAACCACCTGTTTTATGATCGCTCCCATGTACCATCCTTGTCTACCATGAGCCATCGTTTCATTCAGAGCTACAAAGCTAAATCTGTATGATACTTTAACGGTGTTAAGCTCTAGCATCTGAGCCATATCTGAGTGTGTAGTTCACGAGAAATGCCTCAGCTGGCTATTCCATCTCGCCGAATACCTAATCTTCCGCCCGTGATAGTGCAATAATTGCCATTAATGTATGATGAAGCAAGTCCGACTGACCTAGCAGAAATGGTACCTGCCTGTTGGCTTTCCCGCTACCATTCCCCTTTACGACTAGGTCTCCCTGTCTCCACACCCTCCTTTCCCCTGTTCCTGGCACACCCCACCTCTCATCCATTCCTTCCTTCGTCTTTTGCTCTGGGGCGCCCTGTCAATCTAATTCCCCCTTCATCGTTGTCACCAAATTTCTCATCCTACTCAAAATCTCGAGAATTTGTTGGTTCCATTCGTTCAGACACACCTTTTCCCTAAACGGTCTTCTTTCCCGTTCTCTTGTTTGTTAAACTTCATTCATTCTTTTCCATCCGCTCGCTACCTTACTCCCATTTACCGTTGCCCTTGACTCGCCTTGGTACCTCTCGGGATCACGAGTCTTGTGCCGATCCAGTGGTACCCCGGATTGATGAGATCAAATCAAACTGCCGGCCAGCAAGTAACCATTTGACAATCCTTCTCCTCCGACACGATCGTCTCGCACCCTGTGACAGCACTCTCCCTTGAGATCCGCAGAAGACAGCCGGACCAAACCAAACAAGGCTTATTCGACTCACTACTGGCTCAAGCTTCTCGCGGAAATCCCCTTTGTTTTGCTTTGTTCATTCTCTCCCCGAGTCTGAGACAACCTCCTTTATCCATCAAACTTGCCTGAATCGTTTCCATTTCTGGACTCAACATCCGACCCGTTCTTGTTTAACCTAACTCGGGTACCTGCGTTTTCCTCTTCCCTCTTACAAGAAGAATTCATCTGCTGTCGCCCGCTTTCGACCTACAAACTTGCCATACTGCATCAAGATTGCTCCACGGGACTCCTGCACGACGACGACCTCGACGACACTCCCGATCCGCGAATTCATCGAGTACGAACAATCTTGCCTCGCGTGCCCTGTGTGACTACCGAGTCACTTGGCCCGAATCGATATTGGTCTCTAACATCAACAGAGGCTGGCACACATCCGTCAATTTGACATCTCCAGGTACGAGACTCATTTCTTGTTGCAAGCGATTGGTTGGTCATTACATGGGGGAACATTTACCCTCAGTGTTCATCGAAGCGGCCATCCATATTTACCTGTGCATGGCGACGAAGTTCGAGCAGCGACCGGGCCAGATGTCTACTTCATGAACTCCAAGCAATCTTGCACACCGATCAATGATAGCGAAGCTAACCAACATAGTGTTTGACACAAGATTGGTACAGTTGCCAATCTAGTTCGACCTATATCACCTTTATCAGTTGTGATGAATTAAACGCCTACCTCCCACGACAACGAACAACCGAGGCAAAAATAACGTTTCATCCTTGGGATTTGTCCTTCATCATGAATAGGTTCAGAGGCAAGAAGAAGGGCAAGGATGATCTCGAGGCTCCGCGGCCATCGATTGAGTCTGAGTCTTCTAGCCCCTTTAGAATGTTCGGCAAGAAAAAGGCACAGGAAGAGGAACCTAAAAAGGAGATTGATCTCGCTACAGCCCTTCCATCGACTGATGATTTTCGAACAAGTCTTCTGATGACCAACCTTTCGGCACGGTTCTCTATGTTACGCGAGCAAGACGATCCAAACACCAAGGTTGGCAAGGCCAGCGACGACAGTGTTCTGTTCCCTAAAAGACAATCGAGAATGATGGACTTTGGTTTTGCTGCAGGGTTGGGCGACATTGCTGAGGTTGAGTCTATTCGGGCCCCTTTTGCACGCTCATCGATGCAGTCCAATGATGATACCGGGTCAACAAACGGGAGTGTGATGGGCCGGTCGAAACCGATTGAAGGGAACAACTTGTTTGGAGGTCGACAAAAGGTTTACAAAATCGGCACCGGAGGGAACAAAGGGGCTATGAGTGGCCGCGTTCTCTATGGTGACGATGTCGCCCAGTCAGCTTTCCAGAAATGGAGGCAATCTGAAAAGGATAAACAGTCATTCGAAGACCTGCAGCAAGAAGATTTAGGTGACTTGGAAAATGCTCGACCAGAGTCTCCTTCTCAGACCGAGTACAACCGAAAAAGGGAGACAAACTCAACAACGTCGTCAGGTCCATCTGCAGCTCGGGACTCAACAGCCGCCACATCTATCACCTCATCTTCAGTCAAGGACCGGGAGTCCTTCGTGCGTACATCTCGGACTGTCAGCCCAACACCACCAATGGAGCGAAGCGTGACCAGAACCCGTCGTCTCTATGAGCAAAGCTTAAACCAGGATCTTCAGGACCAACAGTCATCTGCTCTTTCAAGAATCGATACGCTTACAAAGCGAACACTCGGCAGCAGAACTCCAGATCTGACACCTCCTGTTCCTTCCCCAGCAAGCGCAACATTCGGTGATCGTTTCATCACTCGATCGGTCCTGGCTAAGGCTAGTGCCCCTAACCTACGATCTTTCAGCCCTCCATCGCAAATGAGTCCTGTAGACTCGGTGAATAAATTCCCCAGCATGGACCAGAAGGCCTTTGGTGCTACACCCCCTCTGAGCCCCCCTATTAGTGAGACAGGGGAGGCTCATCCCTTTGATCGAAGCAGAATTATCACCAGGAACAACAGTCAATATGATGAATCAAGGTTCGCCCAACGGCAAATGCAAATGCAGCAGGGTCGCGAAACTCCCACGAACCGATTCCGCACTGATTCCAGCCCCTCATTGCCAGGCACTCGATCTAGGTCATCTTCTGCCCACCGTCCGCAAATGGAAAGGAACGAATCTGGATCTTTCCAGACTGAGCCAACCGTCCAGGAAGAGTCACAACATTCAACCTTCTTTGATGACGATGATGACCAGTCTGTTGTGGACGAGTCACACCTTCAGCCTATCTTCCCTCTGCAAGTCAAGGTTGAGAAGCCAGCTGATAATGAGCACCCTGCCTTCAGACGCACTACGGTACCAACGCCTCTATCGGTTCCGGAAGGAACTGGAGTTGCGCCAGCTGACTCAACAGAGCAAATGCCTAAGGACTCACCTACTTTGGGACCTACCTCTGGTGGACTGAGTGGCATGGTCAGGCAGCATCTTCGACAAGATAGTGGGGCCTCATCGATTTATGGAAGTTTACCCAACGATGTTGACCTGAGCTCACGATTCCCTCCCGAACGCCCTGATGCACATACCTATGAGCCGAAGACGGTCGATTCGAACGCCTGGGAGTCGATTGAGAGAGACTTGGCTATGTCAATTGACGGTAGCGTGACTAGTCCTACTAGATCGTCTGGTTTGATGGAGGCCCAGATATTGTCTAGACCCGAATCCACCCAAAACCCGAAACAACAAGTCAACCTCCAGCCGGAAGAAGAGACAGATGACTTTGCTCGTCATCTCGCCGACGGTGCGCGACGTGTCAGGGAGAGACTCACTTCTTTTGTCGAAGCTGATAGCAGCATTTCGTCACCAGAACCTCCGCCTCTGTCTGAGCTTCCACCTCCACCTCGTCCGAACGCTTTGGGTATCTTGAAATCCAAGTCCAGTCGTGGCTCTTTGGTTGACAGAGGCCGAGGCGACAGAGAGAATGGCAGCCAGTCCAAAGCGAAGAAACTCCTTGGCCTCCGAGGCTCATCGCCTGCCCCTGCCACAAGTCCATCTCGCCGTGGCTCATTCGAGGCGAATGAAAGGCTGACGCAGTCGCCTGAGCCAAGGGATGAAAACTTGCCAAGAGATAGCGAGGAAAAAGAAGGTGTTCATGCTGGCCTCAAGGCTTTCCGACAAGCCCGTCGGGAACTCCAAAGGATGAAGGAACTCGAAGTTCAGCAACGACACCAAGGACCCTCGAAGCCTCCTTCAGCGGGCAGAGATCGAGCCCAAACTACGACATCCCGACCACCATCCCAGGAACGTAGACCTCCTCCTCCTGTCTCATACAATCGAGTTCCTAGCGAAGAATCGAGGGCTAATGCTGGCTCCCGCTCAGGATCCCGAGCTCCCTCTGAACGTGATCGAAGTGGCTCTGAAGCAAGCAGCGGAGGCAGATCTGGTAGTCGACCGCCACGTCTTAGAAACGGATCCGTACCTCGCGATGATTACCAAGGGCCCATGGGATCTCCCGTAGGAAACAATGGCAAGCCACGACAAGGGCCAATGATGAGAGCACCAATGATGCCCGGACAAGACATGCGGCGGTCACCACGTATGCCGCCTCAGCCATATCCCGGAAACGCTTCGCCTGGTCCCTTCAACCGTCCCGACAACAGCTTGCATATACATCCTGTCTATGGACACGATTCTGGCCACCCATCACCAATCTCACCACTTAATGGCGCACCTTCTCCCCATGGATTCCCCGGGCCCGGCCCCGGCCCCCAGAGACCGTATGGACCTCCTTACCCAGGTGGAATGATGCGCAACCGAGATATGTCGGAACCATCAATGAAGCCGCCAATGTCACCCATGGGTCACCGTGACGGCCTTCGACCTGGCCCCGGACCTGGACTCAATGGTGGTGCGGTTTCTACGCCTAACCTGCATAGCAACATTGCTCCTCCTTTGCCGCCAATCAACCCTCGACGCAAAAACACTGGAGCCACGCTCGCTGAAGGTACCATGAGCGCTCATCGCCGCCCTATGAGCCCTAGTATTGCGAACGACCAACGTGGTGGCTTTCGAAGTGATGATGAAGATGGCGCAGGGATGAACCGCCAAAGATTGCGCAAGGCCACTAGCGAGGCAAACGGTATGAATGCACGAGCTAGATCAATGCATCAACCTCCTCCTCCGCCTATGGCAGCACCACCTCTGCCTCCTAGCATGAGCAGCAATGCAGTTCCCGGCGGGATGATTTAGCGGTGCAAACGACGACTGTTTTTATATTTCTTTCAATTCTCTTAATTCGCCTTTGTCAACAGCATGAGACTCATGACCAAGATACCTCACGGCCCTTTTCATTTCATAAACTTAATCTCAGCGTCCTGAATTATCGAGCAGAGTCTTCGATGATAGGACCCCAGCATTCGTGTGTATTTGTGGGGTGAAGGATATGTCACTCCTTATATGTTTTCTTTTGGGGATAATTCGGTCATTGACGGATGGATGGTTGGAATCTAGTATCAGGCGCAAATTGGCCCTGCTAGCAAGAGATCGAGCAGGTCCTTGATTCGAATAGCTGGCGTCAGGCAAGGTGTGGAAGGAAATGATATGTCAGGAAGCAGAATGGAACGGAACAAGCGGGCATGCATTCAGTAAGGCTGGGGAGGTGTTTGGTTTTGTACGTATAGGATCGGAAGCCTACGGCCAAAAGACGTAGTGAGGAACTACGTCGGTTTATAAAATGTTGACCCATGGAGAGTTTTCGCCATTTCAAAGCAAAGGATGGCCATAGTCAAGGAATGAGAATTGGCATCAGGCCTGTAGTTGAACATTGTAGATGAGATAAATAACGATGGTCACCCATAATGCTCGGTCTATCTGGGCGCCCATGCTGACATGTCCAAGACGCGTACGACCCCCCACGATACTACCAAACTCGCAAGTGAGCAACTCGGGTCATAGTAGCAGGTCATTATCGAGACCTGACCACTAGAGAGTAGGTCGGACTGTAGAGTATCGCAAGCTGTGGCATTATGAGTACGATAGAACAGTCTTACAACGTCTTAAACTCGAGCTTCATTTTAAATTATGAAAATATTTGAATTTCATGTATTGGCTCTAGGGTAGGGTCGCACCCCACCTTCAACTTTTACATCTCCCAAACAGTTCTTGGCACACACGGCTGGTCTGAAGGGAGTGAGGCTGTCAGCCTCCATTTTCACTTACGATCAAGGCTGCTGTTGTGTTTGCTGCAATTATTGTCGGTGCGACGTGGCGATGTGGTTCTAGCTTGTGGACATTGCATTTCCAAACCAAGAGAAGGGCCGACGTGAGGTTTACTATATTATGTAACGAAGGGAAATTTCCGGGAACCGTCAGGTTGTAGATCGGGCGAGTCCGGGCCATGGCACAGAATTTGGGGGTTGTTTTTTTCTGAAACAAGGGTCCAATGGAGCGTTTAGTACCTAGTGGCAAGTAAACCAAGAATTTGCAATCTACATTCATGATTGGAGCGTTTCACTTCACGATGGACTCATCAATTCGAATCACAAGACTAGGCGCCGGGCGAAAAGACGCCGAAAGTGGGTTGATAAAACTTGGTATTGATTCTTGTCTCTGATTCTCAAAAGTCAAAGGCCCAAAAGCAGACCGCGGGTATCGATTATTGTTACAGCTGAAAATCCGTTGCGATTCATTCCCCGTTAACCCCGAGACAAGTCCAAAACGTAAAAGCATAGAGTAATAGAACGCCTAAACCCGACGTCATATCTTTCCCGTGGCGCCTTCGCATAAACACCCCCAAAAGAGGCCGAGAGCAAAGCTTTTGCTGTTGGAGAAAGAGGATAATTGCTTGAAGAACCAGTCGCTGAGGTATCAATCAAGAACAAGTGAAATGGTGAATGCGACGACTAGGTCTTAGGTGTAAATGGAGTAGAGGCAGTTTCTGAGCAGAATAGAAGCGCCATCGTTGAAGTCGTTAAAAAGTCGTGTCTCGTATGAGCGAGGGTATCCAGAATCTCATCTCGCCGTGCTATAGCCCTTTGTCATGATAGAGTTCCAAGCGTGTGTTGTGTGAGAGGAGAGAGGAGGGAAATGCCGTCGAGACGTGTCTGTGGGTGAATGCTTTAGCACAGAGGGCAGTTGTTGCACTGCTTGTGGCCGCAAGCAGTGCAGGTGGTGCTGATGACAATCATGCCTCCACACTGGCAGCAGTACTCGTAGGCAGGCATGTTGATGATATTGGTTGGTGATGGGGGTTTGTGGTGTTGAAGTTGAAGTAGTTCTTGGGATGGTAGGTAGAGTCTGGTGATTGTTGATGGAGAAGAGAGAGATGGTTTGGTTTGGGAACGGAGGGAAGAGGAGGGATATAAATAGTTGAAGAGGAGAGAGAAAGAGAGAGACAGAGAGAAAGAGGCGAGGCGAGGCCAGACAAGGCAGAGTAAGGCAAGCCAACGGAAGGGGACACCCTCAGAGTGCTCGGATATGTTGATCAGAAGAGTCCAAGAGAATGGGGGTGAAATTACCTTGCTCTGTATCCGTGCTGGAGTCGGAATGGGCTGGTTTCGGCATCTTCTAAGACGGGTAGAGCCCACATTCACTCTGTTGCAGTGCAGGTCAATGTTTATCCCCGAGCCTAGAGCCTCAGCCCGAGCGAGAGCCAGAGCCAGAGCCAGAGACAGAGCCAGAGCCAAAGAGTGGGCAGTTTTTTTTTGTGTCTGGTGGTGGTGGTGAGTGGTGAGTGGTGGTCCTGACTTACACGCTCCGCGCTAGGCAACCCTTAGATTTCAAGGTTCAAGGTTCAAGGATCCCTTGGCTTGGACGACTCCGCTCTTGGTGACACAAGCGTTTGTGGTGAGGGGAACTCTGCATGTGCCGTACCGAAGAGAGGGTGGGTGATCTCAGCTGAGGTTTTAACTGGTTGGTGAGTGGAAGCGAAGACATATACTTTTTACAGTACGATTTGATATCGATATCTCTGTTTAATTGGAAGCATTCATGCTTATTTTCTGTCTCTAGTTGGTATTTTCTTTTTGTTTCTTTTTTGTTTTTGTGAATTTGAATTTTCAAATATGATTTTGCCCTGCTTTCAGATTGCGGCTTAGACTAATTAAACTCAGGACCCTGGCGTCACAAGCTAAGGCAACTCCCATGCTGATGCTTGGGTAGGTTCACGCATGCTACGTCATCGTGCAATGACGATGCGTGTCTTAAGGCGACTAGCTCGGTATGCGAGATGGAGAGGAAAGAAACGAAAAGAGACACGGAACGAGCCAAAAAGTATGTAGCGAGGCAGTGTGATGAGAATGTCTAACTGATCCAACCAATGCCCTTGGGAAGGCTGATCCATACCATCCGACCAGCCAGTCACGTCCTTGGAATCAACTGGGCTGGGCCGGTCCCTCGTCACTTTTTTGTTCACTCCACGTTCACAGGCCACTAAATAAAAGTAAAGCATGTAGGGACAGAGAGAGAGAGAGCAGCAGTCGTCCACTCACAACCCCAGTTCATCATCTCCAGATGAGGCTAACGAACGAGACAACCCCCAAAGTCGGCTGTTCTGTTCTGCCCCTACGGAGTCTTGTAGAATCTCGGCTTTTTTACAGCTGATTGTTCCCATCTCATCCGCACGCATATGTAGGATGTATGTACAGTATCAATTTGTGGTCGACTCACGGGGAACAATCCATTGCATCCGAAAGAAACTTACAAAATTGGTGATGATGAACTCAGAACTGCGCCTCGTACTTGGTCATTCGTAGCTGACAAGATCATCAAAGATCAAAAGCTGATCACACCCTTTGCAGCAGTTGAATTTGCGGGGTAGGAAACTATTGTCACCATTCATCTGCCGTGGCAGAATCACAAGTTCCAAACTCAGTTGCCGATCTGACAGGCAGAGAGAGTCAGAGACAGGCAGAGTACCTAGGCAGACGGCAGAGTAGTCCTACGGATGGATGCTGCATGCTACGACCCCAGATTTTCGCCTCTCGATGCCCAAAGATTCTCGACCTCAGAAAAAGCCTCCTTGGCCTCTTCTTTGTTAGCGGCAAACGGGATGACGCATTCATGTCGGTAATTTGCTGTCGCCCAGCACGAATCGGGTCGACGGTTGCATCTTCAGTTGCATTGGTAGGGTCCCCTAGGTCCTAGGTCCTGGGCCCTAGCCTCTAGGTAGGTAGGTAGGGAGGTCCCCCCCGCGCGCAAGGGCATGGGCATGCGCCACCGGGGATCGAAAGCCCACACACCCCCAGAGGCTATTATGAAACAGTATGGGGTAAAGCTTTGCGAGATTCGATATCTCTCGCCTGTCATCATCGAGCATTCTGCCTGACTGATGTGGTTGCGGTTGCGGTTGCGGTTGCGGTTGCGGCTGGGGCTGCGCTTTGGTTCTCAACGGGCCATGGGAAGCTCGGTAAAGTTAGGAAAGCGGCTAAAGAGGCATTTCCACTGCTTTATGTAAAAGTTTATTCGTCGTGGTTTCATCGTTCTTGTTGTTGGTTCCGTCTTACACGTGGAGGCTGATTGACATGTCAGTGGTTGATTCCGTCTCCGAGTGTCCGGCGAGGCTATTGCTAGAATATCCAATTGACCCGAAAATCCGACAAAACATTATGAATACTTCCAGTGAAAGACAGGTCAAATGCGAGTAAAGCACTGTCGTTGAACTTAATATAAAGCAATTATTTTAGACATTGTGAAGTATTTTCTATGGCTTAATAAAGTGTAGCTGTTGTAGCTCACACTTTCCATGCTGGTTCTGCAAATGCACCCTTACCCGCTTCCATCCCTTGAACCCAAACTCCAATTTCATCCATCTTCCATCGGAATCTGGGGCCATAAACTCCAAAAGCAAATGTTCTTCCCATCCAGCAAAGCTTTCCCATAACCCAGCTCCATTCTTGATGAATCTCCATCCTCCCTCGTCTCATATTAACCAACCTATCCAAATCTAAACGTGTTGCCGGACTCGCGAGGAGATTCGTAGTAATAGGTGGGCGGCTGACGATTCACCGGCTGCAGCGCAACGATCTCAGCAGCCTGAGGTTGGATCTGATGATGGTGAATGTTGTTGGCGTGTCTCAGATGATTGACACTACGAACTCTTCCAGAGACGTCAGCAAGCGCTCGATCGTGTTCCAAGAGTGACATGTTGTGTTCTTGAAGCAGCCGAACTTGTTCCTTGAGCCCCTCGGACTGTTCTTTCATGGCTCCCATAGCCTCTTGCATTGATGCAACGATTGTCTGGAGAGGAACATCGTTGTCTGTCTGCGTTCCTTGGTCTCGGAGGACGATTCTTTGAGGCGCAACTGGTGGTCCTGCATAGCCGCTTGCTCCAGAAGGAGAAAATACCTGATTTGTGAACACACTTGCTCGTTTGTTCGCAGGTTGGGCTGGGTGTACGGGAGCAGCTCGTTTCAGGGTACCGCCGGTACCAGTCTCAATCGATGGAAGAACGGTATTGTTTCCCTGCCCGGGTCTTGCTCCTCCAGGAGTCGCCTGCAGTCTGCGAGAGTCAATTCCAGGCTCTGTCTTGATTCGAGGCGCTTGCTGAGGCGTCGTTGGCTCAGCTGGAGTGGGAGTTGAAGATAGGGGGTCCTGTTTCTTGAGCTGTTTCTCTACCCATTCCTTAAGGCCGCGCTTTTTAACCTCATCCATGAACTTGAGATTCAATGGCTCGAAGGATGCATGAACGGCCAGTACAGCAAGTAACCACTCCAGATCAGGCCGAGCAGTCAAGGTAGAGACTCTGCTCCAATGCTGGAAGGTACCATTGAGCTGAGTTTTCGCCCAACCATTTCGAAGATTGTTCCTCTCAATTTTCTGAACGACGCCTTTATACAGGACGGGATGGTTCTTGGTGTCGGGATGAATTTGAGCGATGGCGGCTTCCTGTCTCTCACGGATAGCCTTGGTGTCATCTTTGGAGATCCCAGGATTTCTGATCCTGGCTTTCTTAGAGGGGGGTGTCTCGACATGATCAGTCGCATCTTCAGTGACTGACTCTGATCTTGGCGACATGATCGTAGTGAGGTTGGTGAATGACGACTGTAAGGTGTCAGACCTGGATGAGGTAATGGATGATTGATGCGACCGATGATCTGGCCCGTGAGATGTAATGAGATGATGAAGTTGTTGTAAGAAGGAAAAGAAGAAGAAGAGAAAGGATCGAATGGTGGAATTTATACCTGGAAGTCAAGAGGGCGTGAGTGATTCAGTGTAACCGTCGATGGATGAGGATCCTAAAGGGAATAAAGCGTTTGATGAGTGACGAGAAAAAGTTGAAAAAGTTGAAGAAGAGAAAAAAGGAAATCGTCCAAGTCTATAAGAAAAGGAGATAAAGAAAAGGAGATAAAGAAGACGTTGATGTGTGACAGAGGGAGGTAACAGAAGGGGAGGGTAGTATGTGGCCGAGTCACAAAGTTGTGGTATTTTGCACTCAACGGATTGGAAGATCAGAGATTGGTCGTGGTGGAATTTCCTTTGATGCCTCGAATTCGGTTGCACTTTTTCCTCAAGCAATATTCTCTGATGTGCTCGAGCGAGCTTCTTGTGCCCCAGTTGCGGCTCTGTTGGTGTTGCTAGGCGTCACCGAATCGACGGGCCCCTCCAAGCTGCATCAGAGTCATAATCGCTCGGCCGGGCCGCCATAACCTGCTCAAAGATTTTATGAATTTACCTAAGACTCATCCTAAAGATCATAAACTATGCACCGTGATTTACTGATTTTAGGATGCTTCGATCCACATGAGGACCCTTTAAACCGGCAGAATTGGGCATGGATCGTGCCAAGAGCTGCATGACCTGATATATCAGAAACATACAATGTCAGCTTCCTACATCGCCAATCATGCTTTGCACTCGATCATGTTATATAAATATTGGCTACCTATTTAGTATTTCTATAGTGCCACAAGTGGTGCAAGGATATTGTAGATCGTGGGGTTGGGCGTTGAGTCCTGGGGTATAAAAGGGAGTGCCACTCTTGGCTGCACGTAGGAACATATCAAGATGTCTTGTTCATTTACATAAAATATCTTCTTCTGTCCCTGCTCGGACAAGAGACCGAAAATATACGTCACTTGTATCAGCATTTTCGTTCGAGTTCCCTCTCTGTGGCAGACAACAGTTGCCCTACTCGGCACACAAGCATTGCACTGCTGAAGCACTTGCACTGCCAGGCAAAATCATTACCATGGTTCGAGCAATAGAGCTTATGCCATATGCAGGGCGGCGGGTGCCTGGAAACAAGTCCAGAGAAATTTACCCCTCCCCACTCCAAAATAACTTCCAAAACACAGCAAATGGTTTCTCTGTGAGCACATCAAGAGACTTCGTAAGCTTTTCCTTTGACGATCTCAAATCTTGTCAAACTCTACTAAAGTCTATGTTCTTCGTCTATAAAGGCCGCAGTTCTTGATTCCTCTTCCGCATTTTTTCTTCCCTCTTCAACCATCTTTTCTTCCGCCTCAGCTACTCACTCCGCACGCAATAACAAACATACACAAGAACAAACCAAACTCTATCATTTTCACATTTCTTTATTCGGCAGAGTGTTTTGCTTCTATCCTACACTACTACTCCAGACGTTACATCTTCTTACCTTCAAGATGCGTCGTATCTTGCACATGGATCACCACTACCCCCTGACCAAGGAGATGTTCGACACGAACAACACTCTTCGGTTTGACCTCGAACACCCCGAGCAGGTTATACTCATCCCAACCAAATACAACAATCGCATTGAAATGGAGAAAGCCGTTAAAGAAGTTGTGGCGAAGATGAAAGAAAGCCGTGAGCGCTTGGGGGAGATGGGTAGGGACAAAACCCTTTCCCATGGTCAAGTCCAATCGACCATCGACATTGCAACGAACATCGTGGAATCCATGAACCACATAGTAAAGCGATATTACAATGAAAGAGAAGAGGGCCTTAGTGTCATGAAGCAGCGGGAGTACGCTGCGATCAAGGATGCTGGCATGTCGAAGCCCTTCAAGCATGCTGCAATCGCGCTGAAGTACCACTTGGACCTCCAAGAGAAGTGGTTCACCTTCCAAGTGGCCCGACGTGGCCGCGAGATGGAAGATGGCCTGGACAAGCTCAAGCGCTACAGCCAAGAAGCGTTGCAGATTTCTAATGGAAACGAGCCTCTTTGGGGAACAACACTTGCCTAAGAACTCTATTACACCTGCACTTCAAGATATCTACACAGACGACGATTTATCTATGGCCCAGAGCCCACTAGGAATCTGTCCGCTCGAAGATATCCAGCTTGAAGTAAGTTTCATCGCGTCTGTTGCCTCTTTTCCATACTTATTCCATCCAGGGACCACGCTCGCGGAGATCTGTTGAGAACGAAAATTTTGGGAGCATATCGAACAGGGAGTACGACAATGGACTTCATAATGTATACCATAGGCGTCTGATGATAGACCCATGGATTTTAATGACATGAAGGGATCGGCACGGGATTGCGCATTAATGGTTATTTTGGAGTTGCTATGTGTTTATTTGTGGTTTTATCTCCAGGGAATAACGTTACCAGAAGTTTTTATCGCTACGGCACTGGTACGACTACGCATTACGGATTACGATTTACGGACTATTCATCAGGACATGAGAAATGCAATGAAGGGCATCGAAGTTAATACACTGAGCACTGCGTTTACACTTGAAGTGCCTTCTTGATTGTGACTGTTCTGCTTCTAAATGACCATGATGGCTGGCTGCTTAGCGCTTCTGTTCGCTGGTAATTCCATACTGGTAACAAAGACACTTTGCTATAGTGTGCCAGCCTCCGGGGCAGAGATACCCTCGTTGTACCAACTGATGTGACGAATAATACTACAGTGAATAACTCAAGGATTGTAATAGTATTTCTCATCAAAGCTCAAGTAGTGCAGAGGCCGAAGACTTGGCCAGTGGTAAGGCGCAAGACATCCTCATCTGTGAGCCAAGAGTGTCGTCTGTAAACTTTCCACAATATGCAAAGTATGTTGGTTCTTGGTTTTAAGCATATCCAGCGTGAAGATCAAAAATACTCATTTATCTAACCTTCCTTGTCCTCCATAACCAATGGTTCCCACCGTTGTGGCGAGTTGGTCGTGTAAGCCCCTTTCGTGGTGTAAGTGCGAAGTATATTGCTGTCACGGTGTTCCCAGGAACTACAAGGTTTCGCAACGGTAACATACGCTTCTGTCGTTGGTATGCCAGATTGGGCGACTCGCATCGTGGTGATTCGTTGTTGTGGCAGCCTCGTGCAACAGTTCGTAAAGTTTAACTTGACTGGGGCGATTAGGGTTTCGAGCTTTTCTTGATGTCCTGTGAATCGAACAGTCTCGAGGCTACCATCAGGAGTAGATCTTGGAGCCTAGAGGTATGTCGTTTACGTGCATCTGGGTGGCAATCGTGAAGCAAGGTCGGTTTGGGGTGCCTGTGACCCCGAATGTGTCTTTGCACCCTGTTGTTTGATTAGTCAGGACTCTATAGCTTCTGGGGTGTCTTCGCAGGGTCTTGCTTGGTAAACTTGGTGATAATCGTACAAAAACTGATGGACACGATCGAGTTGAGGCGCTGGTAGATCTGCCATTGTTCGGGGGGTACCGGAGAGCAAACCAGGAGGCTGGAGATCGAAGAAACTGAAGCCACCTTTCAATGGGGCAGCGGTCGAGCACAAGTATACTGTACAAGAGATGCTGAATAGGCTGATGGTGGTACGGAGCGCTGGTCTTATGTCCTGCAACTCCCAGCAATTCAGACCGCTGAAGTTGGGCGCTTCAGGGGCTCTCGCAAAACCGTATATTTAGCTTCCAACGCGGTGGCGGTCGAACGCTCTTGTCTGCTTCGGCGGAAATTAGATCGATTGGAGGTTGAATGGGGTAACGAGCTTGCCTGTAGATCTTGTCAGTCAGCCCGCCGCGGTTTGGTGCTTCAGGGGTTCTGGTGAACACTTATGGCAACTTTGCAGGTGGAGGCCGAGCACTTGGGCAGCAATGGAGAATCTCGAGTTGAATAGAGTGTATACGACGTCCCAGGCTTGCCTCGAGGCTTTGTAGGCCCACCCGCCGCGGTTCGTGGATTCAGGGGTTCGTGGGCAGCGCTTACGGGACAACGAATAACGAGGGACAAGTAGCAAGCTCTACGTCAATGGTAACGGCTCGGTGCTTCGAGATGGTATAGCTCTCTCTATCCAATAACGGATGTGGTTTCAGGAGGTATTGGGCGGGAGTGCGGTCGAAGGGTGGCATCGTAGTCATGCTTGAGCGCTGGCGGCGGAAAGCAAGGTTAATACGACTGGTAGCTTCCTATAGTCATTACTGCCGTTAGCTTTGCTGGCGGTAAACTTCGCTGGTATCTAGAAGTCTTAGCTGCCAAGGTCTAGGCCAACCTTCAAGTCGATTGTAGGTGATCGGCGTTGTGGGGGTGACTACAACTAGGACACCCTAGTCGACGCTGCTACGATGGCGGTCACAATACATGATCTTTGTGTTTGATCTGGCTCATGGATGAAGTTGTAGAGCCAGGAGATGGCCTCACCAACTCCTTGGTATTACAGCCACAGACTTGGTGGATAGACTCAGGGGTCAATGTGTCTTACCACGGAGAGCACAATTTGAAGTCAGACAACGCATGACGCTCAAGGAGCTTTGTTTGCATCAAGAGCTGTTAGCTGGGAGGCTGTAACTCGAGGGGAACTCGAAGCATCGTCTGGAGATTGGCTGGAGGGTCGGATACTCTGCGTACTTCGATCGCATGAATACGGAACCAGAGGGAACTGCTTCGAGTGGCTTGAGTTGCTTCATGACGCGGTATGCTGAGCCACAGGCTGGCCGGAGATGCTGAGGCCCTTCATGCTTCGTGATGTGAGTGAGGAAGATGATGATGAAAAAGGAGAGTCGAGGAAAACAAGGGGGGGGGGTTTATAGTCGCAGAAAAGGAGGAAGCGGAGGAAGGAGTACGTCTTGACTCTTGAGGTTTGCTGGTGAAGAGCAAGAAGCTGTGTCGATTCGTTTGGAGCGCTG